GACGATTCTTGGAAAACCGCGCGAAGGGCCAAACTTCTTCAGCGCTCTCCCGGCTTATGTCCCTTGCGCCCTCGATGGCCACAATCTACGCAGACCCGATCGCGGCGGAAAAGGCTGCCGAAGCCTGGGACAGCGATCCGAAAACACCGAAAACCCCTGCACATGATGGTAATGCTGCTGAGGAGAAGGTCATCCCTACCGAGTTGATCTCTGTAGGCGACATTGTCATCATCCGTCCGGGAGATAAGATCCCTGCGGATGGTATCATTGTTCGAGGCGAGACCTACGTCGATGAGAGCATGGTAACGGGTGAGGCCATCCCGGTTCAGAAGAAGAAGGGAAGCAGTGTGATTGGAGGTACAGTCAATGGTCATGGTCGTGTGGACTTCCGTGTTACCAGGGCGGGCCGTGATACGCAGCTTAGTCAAATCGTCAAGCTTGTCCAGGATGCGCAGACAGCCCGAGCTCCCATCCAACGACTGGCTGATACAATAGCTGGCTACTTTGTTCCGACCATTCTCATCCTCGGCTTCCTGACCTTCACCGTGTGGATGATCCTGAGCCACGTGCTTGCCGACCCCCCGAAGATCTTCCTTGAGCAACAGAGTGGCGGGAAGCTAATGGTCTGCGTCAAGCTTTGCATCTCTGTCATTGTCTTTGCCTGTCCGTGCGCTTTGGGTCTTGCCACACCCACAGCGGTTATGGTTGGCACTGGAATCGGTGCCGAGAACGGAATCCTTGTCAAAGGTGGTGCTGCTCTCGAGACCAGCACTAAGATCACATTGGTTGTCTTAGATAAGACGGGAACTATCACTCACGGCAAGATGAGCGTAGCAGTTGCAAAACTTCCCAGTCTCTGGCAAGATAACGACTGGCGTCGACGACTCTGGTGGACTATTGTCGGTCTTGCTGAGACAGGTAGTGAACACCCCATCGGCAAAGCTATTTTGGGAGCTGCGCGTTCTGAGCTGGGTCTCGATTCCGAAGCCGCTGTTGAAGGCAGTATTGGCGACTTCAGAGCTGCCGTTGGAAAGGGCATTAAAGCTACAGTCGAGCCTGCCTCAAGCGCAGAGCGTAAGCGATACACAGTACTCATTGGCAGCGTCCGCTTCCTTCGTGAAAGCAGTGTCGAGGTACCAGAGACCGCCGTCGAGGAGTCCGAGGAGATCAACACAAAGGCTAATAAGGGATCGAGCAAGAACACATCAACAGCTGGAACTACCAATATCTTTATTGCTATCGATGGTGCCTACGCTGGTCATCTCTGTCTCGCCGACACCATTAAAGACGGAGCCGCTGTTGCTATTGCTGCTCTGCATCGCATGGGGATCAAGACGGCCATGGTTACCGGTGATCAGCAATCTACAGCACTAGCTGTTGCAGCTCAGGTCGGTATTGCCCCTGAAGAGGTATCTGCCGGTGTTTCCCCCGACCAGAAACAGGAGATCATCCTCCAGTTTAAGGAACAAGGTGAATGTGTTGCCATGGTTGGTGACGGCATCAATGACTCTCCTGCTCTAGCCACCGCCGATGTTGGTATCGCCATGGCGAGCGGCACAGATGTTGCCATGGAAGCAGCCGACGTTGTCCTCATGCGCCCGAATCAACTCATGGATGTCCCAGCCTCGATATGTCTAGCTCGCACAATCTTCACGCGCATCAAGCTTAATTTGGCTTGGGCTTGCGTGTACAACCTCATCGGTCTACCATTCGCGATGGGCATCTTCCTCCCATTTGGCCTTCACCTCCATCCCCTCGCTGCTGGTGCCGCCATGGCAACGAGTAGTGTGAGTGTGGTCGTCAGCTCGCTTCTCTTGAAATTCTGGAAGCGGCCGAGATGGATGGACGATGCTCTGCTCGCGGAGAAGAGCGGTGGCACCGTCAAGAGGCGCGGAAGGGGATGGGGCTGGAGTGTGGACGCCATGGTGTCGAGGGCGCAGGATCTCGTTGGTGGAGCCTTGGGACGGACGAAGAGCGATGAGGGGTATGTCCCTCTGAATACGCTTGAGAGTGCAGATGTGTAGGCGAAAAGGAAATGAGCGATGCATTATGAGTTATTTCTTATTTGGATTAACTAAAGTAAAGGGAGTTTGGGGGGAGCGGACCTGGATTTTTGTATATAGCCACCTCACCTTACTTGGTATCTCATATTACTACTGCATATATTATTAACTAGTATCTCTTCAACTGAACTGGGGGACTATCTTATTATATCGAAAGAATCGATTACAAACATTTGAGTAAAGTATTGGAATGTATTGATATGGATCATTGGATTAGGAGAGTGTGACTTTTGAGTGCGTGTTAATGCCAATTGATGATTGTTGGTTGACTCATTTGGATATGCCAAGATGCGGGTGTGCACAGGCTTGGCCACTATTGGGTCATTACTTCAGTTGATGCTCATTAAACTTTGCTTCTCGAATTCTTCAACTTCTCTCTCCTCTTATTCTCAATCTATCCTACTCACTCGTTCTCATTTAGTTGGAAGGCCCTCAATCTATTAGTATACTCAACTTCGGATGTTAATTTTCCATATGGGAGCACTTTATATCCAATTGATGGTTTTAGGTCGCCTACTCAATCAAATACATTCCCATTGTCTAGTCTCGATTCCATTCTATCTTTCGATTGGATTTCAATATCTGTCTGAGATTGGAAACAAAGTCTTGAAAAAAAAAAAAAAAAAACACTAATGGTGTCTCTTCTCCAGCTGTGGAGTCGCAGCGACGGCAGTGGTAGCACCAGCAACAGCAGCACCGCGACATGTTCAAACCCCCTGGCGCTCGCGCCTATCGGTATCATTACGTTCACCGTTGGGATCCCCGCCGCCGTGGGAGCGGTCTACGCAGCGTACAAGTTCAGAGAACACACCCGACGCACGAAGACGGGCGTCAGTATCAAGCTGGTTAGGTTCGACAGTTCTCAAACTAAGCCCTATCCCTTCCCCTTTCCCTTGCTCAGTGATCGCGGCGATCCCGACGACTCTGAACCAGCTGATGTTGCGGAAGATAATGATGTCGCCGCCGTCGTCGTCGCGAGAGAATGTGTCGTCTCTGAAGTTGTGTCTGTGCCGAGGAGTCTGGTGAGAGGATCGAGGAAGGGGAATGGGAATGGGAGAGGGGGGAGAGGGTTGTTGGACACGTACCTAGGCACGACGATGGGAATGTTCACACGGACGCCGCAGGCGATGGTTATGAAGAAGATGGTTAGGGGGCTAGGAGGGCTTAGAGAGGATTTTGAAGAAGGAGGTATGAATAGGACAGTGGCTCCGGAAGATACCTTTGGGGCTGAGTTTCTGGATACTTCTCGGTTTGCAGTCGGGGAGAGGATTTGTGGGGTTTATGTCGTGAGGGATAGGTTTCTGATCAATGAGAAGTGTGAGCCGGTTCGTGAGGGCGAGGCTCAGGAAGAGGGACAGGGCAACGACAAGAGCACAAAGACCTGGGGCGAGAGAGTTCTTTTGGATCTCTCACCGCCTGAAGGCTGGAAGGGGCCGATTGTTCACGGGCTTTTGGATTGCGGGTTTATCGTAGAAGAGGGTGATGAAAGTAAAGGAAAGAGGGGACTGAGGAAAGATGAAGACCAATCATCAGAGAAGACAAGCGGTGATGATGATGATGATGATGATGAGCTGGTCGCCGTAAGGTTCTTCAACGAAACAATCATGTGGCGCCAAGGGGACATACCGGGTACGCTACTCGAAGGGAAATTAGGATGTTGGTTCCATACCTTCATGGTAAGGTGGATGGTTTGTGGAGGTGTTGATGCCGTCGTAGAGCGGTTTGGGGGAAGGGTTGGCTGCTGAGAGACTATGAGTTGGCGGTTGGGGATCAGGAAATGCTTGTGATAGATACCCTTTGTTTTATGTGATATACATGATGTTGTGTTGTATAATATGTCTTACTATTTGCTCCGATACACATCAATGTTCTCCTTCAATCAGATGCCGCTGTCTTCCAACAGCATTGGTATCGGCTCTAGGGAAAGTATGTTTAGTTTCCTCTTCCTATTCAAAACTTACTAGTCAGTTTTTTCGCACTTGGTATGAATCCTGAGTTGAGATTCTACATTAAAATCCATTTCTTTAATCAATCAACCAAAAAAGGGGGGAGGGACACTCCTTCCATGTCACCACCGGACCACGCAAGAATGAGTCTCCGGCCTGTATTCAGTGGCAAAATGTGAGTGGACGTGAATGTCTCGGTTATCGACCTAGCCACACCCTTCTGACTCAATATTCTCTGTCCAAGAGGTGAGTTTGCATGAGTTACAAGACAAGCCTGATTGATCAAATGACCGGAACGTCTCAACAGAAAGTGGTTTGGGTCTACTTTGTGTAGTAAGATCTGAGCTGGAGAGCCGGGGGTGGCTGCATGGTGGTAGCCTGAGAGACAAACGAGCTAGACATATGCGAGCCACCCAAAGTAACGTCATATGGTGGTATCTTGCTGTACAAACGAAGAGAGAGACCACAAGATTTATATATCTTGTCTATCCAGAGAGAATTTCCTGTGTCCCGAACGGATACACATCTCTCTAATTTCCCCTCTCATCTTCATCATTACCCTATTTTCACGATGACCTGGAACATCACGATGTATACATGCAAATGACATCTGTAGCATCTTCATGCACACTTTTATCTCCATCCTAATAGGTCGCGGCAAGCCTGACTTAAAATGCGACAGTCAGGAATTCAACCGAGAATGCAGTCCATTTTTGCAGTCATGCAAAAGCCATATAGGTGAATAAACATGTCTGTCTATCCCTTTTTGCACTTCACATAACACACAAAGAACGCTGGTTAACATTTTTAACAAATATTTAGTGTTCGATTACAGTGGTAAACTGGTTATGCAAATTCTCCCCTTCAGCAAAAATAAAGCACGAGAACTGATAAAGCAACAGTTACAGGCTTGTATTTATCTGACTTGTTAAAAACAATTGCAAAACAGTGACAAGAAGTGTGAATAGGGGCAAAAAGAACCATAAAAAGATGGACAAACGGGGAATTGAACCCCGGACCTTTCCCAATCGTATGTGTTATGCGAAGGGAAAATCATACCCCTAGACCATTTGCCCGATCGATATTAGCCTGCCGCCGTAATGAAAAATAACAACGTTTAAAGCCGATGGGGCTGTCGGACTTGCTAGTCCCAGCCGGCATCAGACGGTTCCAGTCTCAATCGGCCCGCAACACAAAGGACTTGCCAACTGAGAGACCAGATCAAAGTGGGGGCTAAGCGGTTCAGAGGGCAGGGATACATGACGAATGCAAGATATGCTGAGCCACAGGGTAGACCCGAGAGTCCGTCAAGGTTCAAGTCATTTCATTCTACATGCACCTATCTCACAATTGACGATGTCGCGTGTAAGATAGCTGGGCATGACAACGCAAGGAAATAACAGCTTCTCTTTGTTCTACCATTTTTTGTCTTGATCGCTTTTGGCGTCACCAGATGCCATCGTTTCAATGGCCCAAGATAGCGGCACACAGTTAACAGCTGTTTGGTGAGGACCCCCCCTGAGGCTAGTGAGATAGGGTCCATGTGTGACGGAACTCTCCATCACGCTCGATGGATAGATATACTGACGTCTATTTGATTTAACGCAGGTTTCTCGCCTCATTCCTTTGGTTATCTTATTCATCACAGCGACACCTTCTTTTAAGTGAGTTTTTTTTTTTTTGGTCATTCTGTGAGGTTTGAAGGAGAATAGTGCGCTAACGAAGATGTATCCCGAAAAGACCAACCCCGGCTTTCATCCACCCTTTTACTGCTCATCACGGGCGCTTTGGCTTTCGTGACGAGCCTCTTTTCAAAATGGCTTCCCGGTGCTGATGGGAGATTTGGTACGTTTATCAAGGTCTAGACATAAGAAATGTGCATATGATTAATAATTCCGACAGACTCTGACGCCATCCTAAAAGCATCACCTTCATCTTTACCGCCCAGGCCACGGCGGTTTTATATCCCTTGTATTATTATTCTCATCGTTCTCCGCCTTGAAATATGTCATACCATTTTGTACAACTTTCAATGTTCGACTGCAGGCATTGAGGTAAGTTAGGGTACTTATTTCTGTCAGTTGGCCACATCACTCACCATAAACCCCAGGCCTTTCTTCCCCTGGTTCTAGCAACTTATAGATTTCTCTCATACCGACCACCACCAGTAGTATCTGATGAACCAGAAGATCCATGGCAGACACCACTAGAAGATTTGAGGCAATGGCTTGGTGGTTCGCCAATTGGTCTGCTTCTCAGTACTGGCCTCCTTAGCTACGGAGCTTTCATGGCTGCTGGCTTCACTTCAAGATCAACATATGTCTGCTCTGCCCATCTTGATCAGCGATCTTATATCGTCTTTCTCCAGTGGGTCGGCATACTCATGGATGCGACGATTATCATTCTCTCGTGGAGGGTGCTCTCCTGGGCACGGACTACTAGAACTAGGCTGCGAACCCTCGGAAGTGTCATGTTAACAACGTCCTTCGTTTCCTGCGTGACGTGGCTACTCCGTCGGCTCCCCACCCAGCGCGATATTATCAATCATGAGGGTTTCCGAGGTGTCGGTTCACTCTATGTCTTCGACACGATAAGTACAGGCATCGTCGTCGCCACGCTAGTGATAACCGCAGCGCTGTTGGTCTGCGACCCGTCACCTCTGGAACCCATCGCGGTGGCTACTTTCGTGACTGGCACATTTGCAAGCATCGGGAGTTTGCTGCTGGTCGGCACATACCAACAAACGTCTGCGGTCGGACATTTATTCGCTCAAAGTGCCATAACAACAGGCTTCATCACTTTCATGTACTCCATCAACCTCCGGCGATTCGCATTCATCAAACGTGTGTTCCTGTTCCTCGTCCTCGCCAGTGTGCTCGGTTCTTTCGCCACCCACGCCCTTTTCAAACAGAAGACATTCCAGCACCACCCCATAGATGAGCTGGTCTACAATAACCGAATAGAAGCAGATCGGTGGCTTCGACATGCAGCTGTGAGCACGACTCTCAAGGCTGCCGTCAACGAGTACAAGGAAAGATATGGCCGGGATCCCCCTCGGGATTTCGATAAATGGTTCGAATTCACGAGAGAGAAGAATTCCGTCGTGATCGACCAATTCGACCAGATTGAGCACGACGTCTTTCCCTTCTGGGGTCTGCGGCCAGAACAGATCCGCGAGAGGCTGGATTTCATCATGAGCCAACCAAACGTAGGCGTTGTGCGTATTGTGAACGGTAAAGCATCTCATAGCACTCCGACGATTCAGTGGCAAGATACAGTACTGGACGAGCTAGTTATGCTAATATCCTCGTTTGCTGAACATCTCCCTAACATGTTTATCCCGATCAACTTGGTAGGAAGACCTAGGGTTCTGACACCCTGGAACGATCTCCACCAGCTTAGGATGGCGGCTACCAAGCCTGGCATTCAACTATTTCCAAACAAGATGGGCAAGCGTGACGTATCGGATGGCCATGGCCCAAATACTCGTGCGCCACCGGCTGGGTCGCAGGATTGGACGGTTCTTAAACATATTTCAGCTCATGACTTTAGACAAGTCGAGGCATTGTCATGCCCGCCGGGCTCACCGACTCGAGGTGGCGTCCACTGGGACGTTCGAGACTTCTGCGCTGCGTGTACTGTTCCTCACTCTAAAGAACAATTTCTCGCAGATTGGCAGATGTCCCTTGACCCATGTCATCAGCCTGATACCTTAAACCTCCACGACTTCCACACAACTGCTCCTAACGCTGAGATATATCAGGTACGCAACCTCTTTTAAGTAGTACTAATTTTCTTACTCAGAGTCAATCGAATCCGTCATAACTAACATCTAAATTACAACTCATCAGAACCTCCTTCCCCTTTTCAGTGGGTCCAAAACGCCTCTCTTCAACGACATTGTCGTCCCCCTCTGGCCAACGCCCACAAACGAAAAGTACAAAAACTTCGACGACAAGTCTTTCAACATGAAGCAAAACGCACTCTTTTGGCAGATCATGGTGCCCGACATCCCGCTCGAAACGGTGCATAGCGGACAGCGCCAACGCCTTATGTATCTCGGCCGGAACGGCACGGCAAGCGACAAGATCTCAATGCTGCTCGGGATCGGTGCCGACCAAGACAGCCGTTTCCGCTACGAGGACGTCCCTGCAACCGAAGCGAACGGGATTCTACCCTTTCCTGTTCTGCTGACCAACCCGGGAGACGAGAAATGCGAAGCCGGAAGCCCGCAATGTGAATACTTCCGCAACGAGTTCGGCGTCACCACCAAACTCGACTCCTCAGACGCCCCCTCTGGCGACGGCCTCTCCCACGAGCTCAACCACAAATACATCCTCGCCCTCGACACATCCTTCGCTCCACCTCCAAACCTCCTAAACGGGTTACACTCCAACTCTGTCCCCGTCGTCTCAACGATCTTCACGCAATGGTTCACCGAGCGCCTCAAACCCTGGGTGCACTTCATCCCGCTCGATCTGCGCTTCCACGCGCTGCACTCGACCCTCTCATACTTCATCGGCCTAGACGGGCGAGGAAAACTCAACGGGCGCGAACAGATCACGCCGCCACGGGCGGAGGACGCGAAGTGGATCGCGGACGAGGGAAGGAAGTGGGCGCAGAAGGCCCTGAGATCGGAGGATAGAGAGGTTTATTGGTTTCGATTGCTTTTGGAGTGGGCTAGGGTTTTGGATGATGATAGGGAGGAGATTGGGTTTAAGTTGATGTCGTGAGTGTGCGCAGAGATAAAGAAAGGCAGAAGGAGAGGGAAAGAGAGGCGAGGGGAAGGTAAAGAATTTAAAATTACGAATAGAACTGATCTAGGATGGTAGACCTGCAAGACAGACAAGCATATGGAAGAAGATCTTGTATTATAAGTTTTCTGTAACCGGATGTTGGGTAGTGGGAAATACTATCCATATACCAAAAAGAATAAAAAGGAGACCAATGAAGGCGCAAACAGACATAAGACAAACAATCTAAACCTACCAAGTACTTATGCATACTAGTCAGAGGATTAGTGCTCTCAATAAATACGAATGATGAAGAAAGAAAGGGAGTGCATATCCCAATGAATCTAAGTATATAAGTCTCCATATAATGCAATGCATGCTAATGCTTCCAATGCCTCTATGCCCTCCGAGTCGCCTCATCGCTTGTCCACGTTCATGTCCCATGCTTGCATCATACGCCCATACGCGTATAGTGTGCTTATGTGTGCATAAAAATAACTCAGTAAGTAGGTATATTCCATCCTATCCATTGCCTTGCCCTTGCCCTTTCCCATGATTTCGTTATCCCGTGTATGTGCCCTCATTTCTCATATCATCCCATCTCCAACTTTTCTTTGGAATGTATGAGAATCCAAATGCTCGAACACCTCGTGGATAAAACGATGCACGATGTACTCTTCAAATCTCCCCACTCGGGGCTCAGAATTGCTCCCAAACCCCCCAGCCCCAACCGGAAGACAATCCACCGGCTAGTCATACTCCCTCTTTTCTACTCCTCCCTGTCAAGAACAGACCACGATCCTCAACAGGTGGAAGAAGGGATTCCTCTAGTTTGGTCTTGCCGCTTGCAGCTCCCTCACCTTCCCAATCCGGTGACTGAAAGGTGGAGTCCTCGGACGCATCAGCCTCAGTATGGCTCTCGATATCGGCGTCCGCGTCTGAAGAGTTCAAAGCGCCTGCTTCTTCCACATCGCCTTCGCCTTCCTCAGTGCTCGTGGTTTCAAACTTGACACATTTCGAACCGGGGGCGGTGCCTTCGGCAGCAGTGGTAGTAGCAATAGTATCGGTAGGCAGCGTGCCGTTCCCGTCTCCAGGACCAGTGCCAGACAACGAGAAGGCAACTCCGGTAGGGGAGTGTTTGGTAGTGGCGGTAGGGGATACATGGGCGCTATTAAGGAAAGGTCGAAGCTGGAGCTGGCTCTGTGACTGTCCCAGTGGCGTCGATGGCGGTTTCAACGTCGGCGTAAGCGGCCGCGAGAAATCGTAACAATCCGCCGTTGACACTATTGCCGGGCCCGTCTTTGGCCCACTCCCTATCGCCGCACTATGTTTCGGTATTTTCT